AGCTGTTGTAATTCACTTAACTACTAGATTATACTCATCAATACTATAATGACGCAGTATTATACTCATCAACACTATAATGACGCAGTATTATACTCATCAACACTATAATGACGCAGTATTATACTCATCAATACTATAATGACGCAGTATTCTGACATTATTCAATGTGTACAAATACCAAATATAATAGTTGTGGTCAATTTCTAATTTTAAAAGGCAATATGTAAAGCTTGTATAACGTTTATTTTCTAATAATTGAATTGATTACAAACATGTATAGAGTACATATATATACGATCCGTAAATTTCAATAAATACGTATGATAAATCACGATCAGCACTGCCAATAGTACAGTGCAAACTTTGAATTTTCAACCGTTTTAAAATACGTCAAAATCACAACAGTAATCTCCTAATGTAATTGCTCTGGGAGATCAATAATTTGTAAAAATACGTCCATATAATCCTAAGATTAATGGGAAATAGACGAACACAGTGATTTCAATTCCCGTTTCCATGTGTACAACACTTTCAAATACGGACGCATGCGTCAATTGACTACATGGCGCAAATGTCCCGGATGGAGGTAGACATACAAATATGTCAGTTGACTGACATACAAAAATGGCTAGCTGTATTGCATGAATCTGATTGGATGTCATAAGATATAATAATTATGTGGGTAATATGTCTGCAAACAAAATACAGTATACCTGTCTGTTCACCACTATTAAAATATGTATTATAAAATGTGATTGGCATCGAGTCGTAATGATTTATTGTGATGTAGTAATGACGTCACAGTATTCTCATCTTGGGAATTTGATATTATTGGATATTGTCACGAAATATGCATTTTTATAATGAAACTAAATTAATTGATCACGACAGTTATTTTGAAAACAGATGCTTTACATGGTTAGAACATGCAATTTATTACGTCAAACTATCTGGTTGATACGTTATTATGAGCGTCCGACTTGATTCTGTAATAAATTGTTGTTAAATGATATACAACTAAGGTAGTCGTGTGCTTATTGACCTTGTCTTACGTGTACTGTTGTTTACCACGCTACTGTAATCTTCGGCGATTAAATGTTACTTTAATCGAACAAACTGTATTTGACCGACCAATGTGCGATATCTGTCTTCCCGTCACTATTACAATTCATATTATTAAAATAAAAATGCATTCTCGCAAAAATAGGTATTCGCGCTTTGTCTATACAAATGGTAACAAATCAAATTGAACGATAATTGCCCGAAAATGTTTTTCAAACAAGTTGGTTTTAAATTTCTCAAATCTTTTGTCAGATAAGTGGGCAGCATTGTCATTTCCTCTTAATTAAAAACACTGAAAACTAGAATAAATTTGACATGCAACTGCGGCAAACAATAGGAACCACAAAATTATGCTTCACATGTTAGATTTATTTGAGTTGTGTTGCTGTGACTTATATACTTGTATGGTATGAACAATTGAAATATACAAATGCTGTTGAATATCAAATGTAAGAAACTGTAGCTGGAACCCATAGTCTGTTGTAATTATTAAGTAGGTCTTTTCATTGTTTAACAAATAATATACAAAATTGCCTTGTCCAGTAAATGTTTTTGCTTTATTTGTTTGCAACGTATATTTACACCATAGTAGTACATACTCATTTATTGTAGCTTTACATTTTTAAATTTGTTCTGTTAGTTTGGCACTATTGTGCATGAAATTGGCCATGCGATTGGTTTCTGGCATGAACATAGTCGTCTGGACAGAGACAATTATGTGACCATTCACTTCGAAAACATTGAAACTGGCGCAGAACACAACTTCCAGAAATACAGTTCATTAGCTGGTGACAGTTATAACGTAACATACGATGTAGGATCAATAATGCATTATGGAGACAAGGTAAATATATTACTTGTAATTCAAACTATAAGATTCGTATAACAGTTTCTACATTACACCTTACTCATTTAACTACCGATACACAATATCTGTGGGTTTACTAAACACAACGTCATTTAGTTTTATCAGTACTACCCAATAATTCAAAGTCTTTAGTATTTCAGCAAAAACAATCTCACTACAATAACTGCAATTAATCCAGCTGAACAATCAATAATGGGTCAAAGAGATAGTCTAAGCGAGGCAGACATTCAGTTAGCTAAACTGATTTACAATTGTCCACGTAAGTATCGCGGTAACATTTCGTTGTTGTCATATATAATCAACTATATCCTGCAAACATATCATATTGCATTCATGTTCGCAGTGTTATTATATAAACTTGATACATAGATACTTATTATTATTATAACAACTCGATATATTTCTAAAGTTAACTTAAAGTGCGTCGCGCAGCGGGTGCTCAAATTTCATGTAAATAAACAATGTATTTTTCACGCGTTGTATACGTTGCTATGAGTCCCGCGGCGTGACGACTACCGCCCCTTTAATATTCAACGTCACCATAAATATACTTAACCATTAAAACACAAGCCATCGTAATGGTGGATTTATTGCTATGATTTTTTTGGTGGATGGAGCGTGTTTATTAAAATGTTTATTAAAATATACCAAAGTCAAATGTATGCTAATATGGTCTCTAAATCTCTAAAAGTTTACTGAAAAATACATTAATTTGATTTCATTCAAGCTGGATTATGCACTGATAATTGTATTTATGATGACGATGGTGATTGTGACGATGGTGGTCCTGGATCTATTTTCAAGATATGTGCTTACGGCTCTGATTGTACAGACTGCGGAATTAGACCTGACCCACGTAAGTTATTTCGTGATTTATTATGCGTTCATGATCTTTTCGCCAATCAAATACTAATTAAAATGTATGTGGTATAAACTAACAAAATAGTATCTAACCCGCTGACTATATATTTACTATACAGTATATTTAAAATTATAATACAGTTGAATATTAATGGCATTAATTATTATATAGAATGTAATGACTTATGCAGTTCAAACAACGATGGAGAATGTAATGATGGCGGGGTTGGGTCTGAGGATAGTACATGTGACTACGGTTCAGACTGTGAAGACTGTGGAGTTAGAACTGATGCACGTAAGTTTATGTTCAGAAATATTTCTAATTGATTAGCATATGTTTAATTTATACTTACAATTTAATTTGAATTTACATGTGACTGTTTATGGGTGTTAACTTCTTTACTGCGCCATTATAAACAACACAACAATGTATCCTCATCTTTTCATCTTCCTCATCTTTGATTGTCACCGAAAACCACAGTTTTTAAAATAAGATGCTCCCATATATGAACTGAACATACGTTGAATTGACAAAATCAATTCGGTAACTACTATCAATTCAGATGTGTCAAGCATTTTCTCAAACATAAAAATTAGTCATTTAGTAGTCTTCAATGATGACACATATACAAGATCCAATCGCAGTTTCAATCAGCGCATTTTCCGGGATACATATTAATCACAATATTGTGATGACAAGTCACACTGGGGAGTATTTTACAGTATTAAAAATAGAGCAAAATCGAAAAGAAAGTAACACAGGGGAATGTCTGGGCTGTTAATATACATATCATGCGGGTTTTTTCAAGGCGTCTGATGTAAAATAATAATATGTAATATCGTTCGTTTTCTTAATTTGGTATGCATAATAATTCCATTTAACATCCTATTATTATAATTATTAAATCATAGTTTGTGGGACTACTTGCCGCTACAATGCCGATGGTGACTGTGATGACGGTGGTTCCGGCGCTGACTATAATTTATGTACTTTTGGGTCTGACTGCATGGACTGCGGAGTTAGATGTATGTATTAAAATATATTATGTAATAGGACTAACATAAACATGAAGTGTGTACACTATTTGAAATATTGGATATGTACCTCTCGTTACTAATGTTAAACCGCATTTCATTGTTTTACTTAATTCGTAAATTATAATGTAATTCAATCTCTTGTCACACAGCTTCAACGATGCCTGAATTGAAGTAATCAACGTGAATCTAAAGGCGAATATCTATATTGGTAATAATAAATATAACTATGTTTAAGTGACAATTATCACCTGTATTTAAGTGATATTAAATGGAACGAGTGTTCGAAATGGTAGTGTTAATGTTTAATGATGTGTTCATGACGTTTATCATGGATGATCCGAATATGTGCATAATCATGGTTGTTTGTGTTCCCTATTAATGCCACTATCCGAATGTCAAGTGTAATATTACTGCTTACAATTGAAATACTTGAACTTATCTACTATGTTCATTTTATCGATTGTATACATCACACAGCCTAGAAGGGAAGTTAAGAAACTTTTGCAAAGATGATACTAATATATTAGTATACACCATAGCCTTAACAACCAATCGGATTCGTGCATTTGGTGATGGATATACTTGCATATTGACTCCACAGCGGTCGAATAAGTAATATTAGGCTTCTGCGCTTGCGCAGACGTTATGACAGATCTAAAAACAATGTTGGTTCACAGTTTATGTTTGCCGGGTTTTGTGTCCAAGAATCACCTTTAACTTATTGAAAAGATCGAGCAACATCATTTGACCAATAAAGCGTCTTGTGTTACTCGGCCGAGTCATGCCCGATGTGAATACGGAAGATAATCATCGACCAACACTGATATTTCGGTCATTCCGACTTAGGTCGCTGCACCGTGTACGTAGCTAGCGCGGATTACTGAATTTGCGAGGCGGCTCAGTTACTGTAGCTAAGTTTTGTATACAATGGCCAGAGAAAATATCAATCCTAGGAAATTTCTTACTTCTATTGAATTTTCGGATCCAAGAACATTAAGACTGGTGTTTCTGTAGTAGGACGGATACTATACAAGGTTAGAATGTTCCCCGTAAATTGTAACTGAAACATACACAATATGCATTTCTCATCATTCGGCGTCAACCCTTTTTCCCCAAAACATTTCAAATCATGGGTTTCATTGCCAGAAGTATGTATTACCACATCATCAGACATATCACTACTGATGAAAACTTGATGTATGAATTGTTGGTATGAATATTAGTTGTCTGTATTGAATGAACTGCTATGTGTAGCGAATGATGTGATATTTCTAACCGATTCCTCGAACTTTGTGACGACCGTACAATCTAATATTTCATTTATGGTAGGCATGTCTCTCTTTGACTACTGCCAGATTTGCCTATCGCATTCTACACATAATCGGACATCCCCGCATGTTTACGGTACTACCACATCTGGGCTGACACATGTTATGTTGCATTTAATTTCTCTATCACATCCAATTCAATCAATTCAGACAGCTTCTGTGTCTGAATGGCGTTCTCCGTGGTTGCTGCGCCATCAGTGGTATGTGTGTGATTCAATGCGGATCTTAGCCTGGTAATCTTTCTATTTTCCTAATTCCTAACGTACATTGACATTTTTCAAAAACATCCTGCGGCTTATCTGACCCATAAGAATACAACGACTGTTTTGACCTCTCAGCTTGACAGGGAATTCCTTTTTATTTCAGTGTAGACCATGTTGTCTCACGAATCCCATTACAGGTTGCTGTCATGAATTAGTTTTCGCGTATCTGTTGACCGACTTATTTAGCTGATTACTAACGAATGGCTGTGTTATGTCTGGCATCGTTTAGGCCTGCAGGTTCTGAACGGAACTTGGCTCAGTGATTTGGGTCTAATTACGAGATAACCGTCGCTATTCAGACTATTATTTCTGACAGTTGGTATTCGTAGTTATTAATGTAGTGAACGATTAATCAAAAGATATGACGTGTTCAGTGCTTAGCGTGATTGGCCTTATGATTGAAGGTTACGCCTTAGAGTCTTTTTACTGCTTTGTAATTGGTTAATGTTTTGAAAATGAATAAAGAGAGTTTGAGTTGGTCTTG